TCTGTCATGTGACCCGCACGCGGAAGCGTCACGCAGTCTGCCTGCTGACGTCACGCATCCCCCCCCAACCCTCCGCGAGTAAAGTGCCATACAAATGTGTTGCAGGTCTAAGGCGTTCTTCGCGCAGCATTGCTTTATTTAACAGGGGTGGGGAATGTCTGGCCCGCGGGCCGCACAAAGCCCGCAAAATCATTTGGTGTAGCCCTGCCAAGGCAACCGCAGGTGAGACTCGAAATTCAATAAATCTAGGAGCAAACCTTGGAAAAGCAGTTGCGAGTAGCAGCAACATCATCAATACCAGCTAACATCACACGCCTCACCAAAGAGAAGCAGTTCCAGCCATCGCATTAAGGGTGAGTTAATTAAATGTTTGACCAAATATAACAGGCTAATTTTCAAGTTGATAATTTTGTATGGCCTGCGAATGATGTTATAAATATCCAAATGGCTCTTTATTATTAATGTCGTTTACTGCCGTACGTACCCTGAAAGTTGTGTTTGTCTGCAGCAAGTGCGTGTATGTGTACCTATGGACGCGCGCGCGTGTGTATGTGGGGGGAGTGGTAGTGTAGTGGTTAGCGCGCTGCGCTATGAACCCAGCGACCCGAGTTCGATTCCCGCTCACGGCCACCACCGGTGACGATTATTTGAACCGGTCCTGGGCCTCCCCTAGGTCGACTCAGCCTCAAACGAGTAACTGGTGTGGTGTGTGAACATCGCCACTGGGGAGACAAAGGCGGCCGGGCATGGTGAATCCAAGTCCCGGGCGAAGCCGGGTAGTAAAGCTAGTATAATATAAAGCACAATCCGCGATAACACGTGAGATGCGTTTGCAGGCTGAACAAAGACCGTGGGTAGCATCTAGAAGCATCCAGCAGCATCCCAATTCCTTGTGTGATGCTACACCGAGGCAGCCGTACAACCGCTTATTCCTACTTGCGCAACGTAGCTCCGTTCGGCCACTCGCGTTATATCCAATTCACATCCGCGTCATAAAAAAATACGTTCCCTAATACATTCATCATCGCGTTATATCCAATTCGCGTTTTGAAAACACGCGGCGCAATAGAACAGACTACTTATTGGACAACTCCTTCAGAGCCGAATCAATTCCAGTTTACATTCCCGAATCCAAAACTGAAATCTGACCAATCCCAAATCTTTATTTGCTTGACATGAAAGGCACAAAAAAACTATTTTCCATTGCAATCATTTGTCTCAGCTTAGGGTTGGCCTTGGATTGGCTCAGATATAATCTGCCACTGGGCTCTAAAGAATATGATGATCAAGTTGGGATCAGGGCAACCCACGCAGAGCGAATTCAAATAAAAAGCAGCGTTTTTGCACGGAAATAAACGTTGTTTTCCCATTCTATTGCGCCTGCAAACTGTTGAAGCCATCATTCTACCACTCTTTGACTACTCCGACGCCGCTTGAATATCAGTTACCAATGAAACAGATTAAACTAGCTTTATCATTCTACTCTTCGATTTGCACTGGATGTACCATCAAGGACCTGAATGTAACTTTCTGACCCGCCCCGACTGGACAGCTATGAAAAAGAGCTTCATAGCTCAGCGGATTTCTCCAGGATAAATAAAGAGTCTGATTCTGAAGGCCATTAACATTAAAACACATTCCTGCGAAGAGAGCTGGTAGGAACGTTGGGTTGCTCGGTCAATGGCCAGGGTCAACGGCGGCGTGGTGTATTCCACAAATATGCCCGACTGTGAGGGCGGGCACAAGCTGGCGTGAGTAGGTTAAACGTTGAGTTTTATAAGGGCACCACGGGGTGACCAGCCCCTCTCCACCCAGCCCCACCCCTCCCACCCCCCACCCAGCCCCTCCCCACCCTCCCCTCTCCACCGAGCCCCACCCTTCCCACCCAGCCCCTCCCCACCCAGCCCCTCCCTCCCCACCCAGCTCCTCCCTCCCCACCCAGCCCCTCCCTGCACGACGGACGGACACAATAACCCCCTGTGGGCTGGTGGAACCAGTGGGTTCCGACCAGAATAACGCCGAACTTAATTCATAATGACAGCAAATAACTCTAGCCAGACTTAATCAATTGAGCATTTATTATAATGTAACACACTCTCTTCAATCAACCCGTATCACTCATTCATTATTATTCTAATCCCCATGAAGATAATGAACTAACCCTATTTAGCAATTAACACTTTACTAGAATAACAATAACATTACAAACCCAGCTTCATTATGAACGCGCAACTCCGATTACCACAGTGGACTACGTCGGTGCGAAATAAGTTGAACATACATACAACACAAAATAGTACACCTCAATTCTGTATAATTAAGGAAAGCAGACTTTCACCCACACCGCTAAACAGATGCACCTTATTAAAATAATGTAACCTGCCAATCACAACCAATCAACTCTAATTACTATTCTGGATCACGTGCACGATTGTGCTGGTGACGTCTTAGGGCAGCTCCACACAAGAGCAAAGCTGCTGCTATCATCTGATGGAGCTGGATATATAACCTCCATTAGAACGTCTTCGGAATAAAATTGTCAAATTTTAGCTTGGTTTTCAACATTTCGGCTTGCTGAAAAATGAAATCGGTTGGTATATGTACCCACGTTGACAACCTGATTTGATTGGGATCTGTCGGGTGGTGGAGGGTACAGCTGGAAATTGGCATTATCATACCTGTCAACCCCTCATCAGTGCCTACCTTATTACAGACCAATTCAGATTTTAGTGGTCACCCCGTGCCCCTATAAATATCAAAGTTCATCCCACAAAGTCTCATCACAAGGAAGAAACACAAATAGACAAAAAAATAGGTTTGCCCGTATTGAAACGGCTGTATGCCATGTGGACCTCAAAACTCAATTTCCCTGGACAAGAATATGGAGTAACCGTATGGGTTGACACCGTATGCATTATACGGATACGATCTAACACAAAAGTAATTATGAATCAATTTTCCACTTGTGCTCAAGGGCCAGAACGCTGGAATTAAAAAATATTGCACGAACAAGAATTGCACCGTAGGTAACTGATTTTAACTCTGCATGGTAACTGTTAACAATCACGGTGGTAACTGCGATTAACTCTGTCGCCATGGCAAGCCATGATAACTGTTAACTTTGACACGGCAGTAACTCGAGCTCTCATCATAATCAACCATGATCTATCGACTTCTGGATGAATTACTCCCCAAGCCACCGACACCTCTCCCAGCCTCGTGATGCAGCAATCCAGTTAGCTCGTCCACAGGAGCTGATCTCTTCACTCCATATCCACGGTGGACGTCCTCTTTGGCTGCCACTCTCTCTATAGCCCGAACATCTGCCATCAAACCTATTGGCAACATGTCCCATCCAAACTCACTAATTATTTTAACATTTAACCCTTTCCCATTCTGTTGACATAAGTGTATGTCAGAATAAAAAAAAATAACTAAAATCTTTATTGGTACCGAGGCTCCCACAAGGCCATGCGGGAGGGCGCGTGGCAGTTTGGCGCCAGCTATTGTAGAGTGTGGTTGTGTCGCTACAGTTCTCTGACATGAGTACGATGTCTTTAAAAACAACGGTGCCACTACGGCTCTCTAAATAAAATTAACGCTGAACCGCTTGCACGTTCCAAGATTCAGCGGTGAACGGGACCCACCACCCTGCAACTTGCAGACGTCTTGGAGCGGGAAAGGGTTAAGAAGATGTCGCTCACTCTAACTCCGATCCACGTTGCATTCACGATATTGCACAGCGTTTATAATGCATCATCACTGACACATCGCTATTATGAGCCTGTGTGATGCGTGCGAGAGTTCTCGCGTCACCGGTGCGCTCTGACTAGGAAATTTGGCTCCTTATTCGGCAAATAAATTAAGATTCGTCCAATCGTGAACGAGTGCCGACACTGGATCGAGCCTGGATTCGGATTGATCCCATTGCTACATAGAAACGTAATCGTTCAAGTAAAGAATGAAGTATGTAGTTGGTGTAGGTTGGTGAAGGCGGGGAACATAGACGGTGAAGCTTAGAACTACAGAACAACAATGTATTTTGCCTTTGCTGACCACGGAGTCTCACAGGAGCCGATAACACCTGTTCCATTGAGATGGTCGCCCATCCATGCATTATCCAGGCTGAACTCTCCTTAGCTTCACAGATCAGACAAAACGAGGTGTATACTGGTGGATTTCGTCAAAAGGCTGGAGTCAAATACAGGAGTGATGGCGCGGCGCAGTGGTAACACAGCAACAAGAACCTGGGTTTGATTCCTGACTGGGGCGCATTTCTGCGTAGGAGTGTGTATGTTCTCCCCCCCTGTACTGCATGTGTTTTTTTTCCGGGTTCTGTTTTTCTTTCCTATAGCAAAAAACACATTCCTGCAGAGGGAGCTGGTAGGAACGTTGGGTTGCTCGGTCAATGGCCAGGGTCAACGGCGGCGTGGTGTATTCTGCAAATATGCCCGACTGTGAGGGCGGGCACAAGCCGGTGTGAGTAGGTTAAACGTTGAGTTTTATAAGGGCACCACGGGGTGACCAGCCCCTCCCCACCCAGCCCCACCCCTCCCACCCCCCCCACCCAGCCCCTCCCCACGCTCCCCTCGGCACCCTCCCCTCCCCACCCAGCCCCACAATCCCCACCCAGCCCCTCCCTCCCCACCCAGCCCCTCCCTGCACGACGGACACAATAATCGCCTGTGGGCTGGTGTAACCAGGAGGTTCCTACCAGTAAAACATACAAAGTAACCATTATTGTAACATCTCCAATGCTGAAAAATTCCCTGCAAGTTATTCAACAGGGCTATAAAACATCGCCCTCCTAATGAGAATGCTTGGCAGGACCCTCTTGAAAGAATCTTGAAGACGCATTGGGACTTTCTTGCGTAAACAAGTGTAGCAATGATTAATACACGTGGGCAGGAAGATACAGAACTTGATGGGTGACCACTGGAACTTGACGGGCAATTCCCTTTTGTGTGACACTTTTCTGGCAGAAATAACTCCACGTTTACCTTCATGCGCTTTGGAAAGTCCAAGGCGAAGAAACCGTATCCGCGCCCCCGGCTTCCTCCTCCGATCACGAGGACCGTCACGGGCACAGCCTCGCCATCTGAAACCCACAAACGCCCGTGAATTTACAATCACGCGTAGCATCGACTCCGTCCGGGTTTTTTTTCTTGTTTCGCTTGTGCCGTACAGCTCTCCTGATATGTTTTTGATTGCTCCGCTTGCCGTTCAACAACGACGTCTGACGTTTCACTCCCACGTGTTGGGAGGATTGTTTAGGAATCGAATGTACGCATGTTGAACTTCTTTCGCACCGTACGTAGCCAACCGTGCTAATCGGAGGTGCGGGGGGAAGGACAACAAACTAAACACAAAAAGCATTTCTAAAAATATTTTTTCAATCCGGATTTAAAGGTGCATTGCTCCAGTGGCTTCCGAATATCGAATATTTTTTTTATAGGTTTTACAACCCAAATATGTGCATTGCGTGTACAAAACTCTCGGGCTTATCCAGACCACCAGTTCAAAAGCACTGAATGTGTAGTAATTGTATCTCTCAGATCACAGATTGAATGAGTAAAGGTACACTGATTTTTTTTCCAATTAGTCCTCTGTTGACTTCGTGCAAGATACACGACAGAGTCTTAAACACTTTTAATAGAATCATGCCTGGCATATTCAGAACCCACTTTGCTATACTACTCCCTCTGTGGCAGCTTTCTGTCTGGCATACAATCTCCATAACCTCTTTTTAAACTAAAAAATATTCTATTTTTACCAGGTAAGGCCTACTAAGCTATGTAGCCCTTTATCAAAAGCTACCTCGCCACAAATAATAGCTCAACAAAGTGGCTTATCATCACGTTGAAATTTATAGCAGACAAATACTCTAAATGCATGTGCATGTCGAATCTAAATGTGGAGGGGAAAACCGGAGGACCCGGAGAAAAATTAACACGACCGCGGGAAGAGAGACATGCAGACTCCAAATATAGAGGTGAGCCTCGAAGCCACGACCTCCTGTATACCAGGCGAGGTAGTTAACATCTATCCAGACCCGACGTAGCTGACCTACCTGAGGTCCCGCCAAATCATTACCCAAGTTGCCAAGCCCATGCACACAGTTTGGCTCTCTCGGGCAGTCTGAATAATTATCGTAAACACGGCACGTTTTGTAAAATGTTTGAAGGGTGGTCGTCACGTCAGTGATGTGTAAGCGTTGCCCGTGATCGGGACTCATGCAATGTAACTTTAAGATTAATGTTGGATTAAAAATCACCACTCAAAATTCCTTGACCACTCCAAGCGTCAGAATACACTCAGCTTTGCGGCCACCCACACCCAAGGATGACATTTTGTTTAATCCCAACGTAAACAGGTCCCCTTGAGAGTGCCACGGCTCGAAATACAGAATTATAGCCTTCATCTGACACAAAAACATATTTTTTTAAATTCCACTTAAGAGTATAAAGTGTAACGTTTATGGGTAAATAAGAATATTTATTAAGTATATTTTTTTTACTGGATATCTGTGGGGAAAAATAAACTATCGCATTCCTCCAGCATAAATATTCTGATTGCCACCATGACGATGCATGCTTATTTACGATGCGACCTGGGTTCAAACTCACCACCACCACCACCATGCACCACTGAGACTGTGACTCGCCACTGATGCACGGCCCCTTTAGACCCCGCCCCCTAACCCCCCCCCCACACCCCGACTACCCCCACCCACAACTACCCCCACCCGCACCACCGTGACATCACGTGACCTGCTGCATCCGGGATCTTGAGCCTTCTAGAATCGGCGTCATCGGCGCTGGGAGCCGCCGCGCCCGACATGGCGGGGCGCGCACGCGGCAGGCACGCGCACCACGCTCGCCACTCTCGCCTCGCTCGCTCGCCCGCCACGCTGCACACGGGCCGGGGGGGAAGGCGAACACTGGCGGGGGACCGCTCGAACCTTGCCGCGCTGAACGTGGCGGCGCGGGTTAAAGGAAACAACGGGTGGGGGGCGGGGTCGAGGGGTGGGGGCCGCGGCGGTGACGGCGGCTCGCCCTCGAAACCCAAGAAACGCGCCTTGCCATTTCCGGTTTGCACACGGGCCGTCGCGCCGCCACCGGAAGTCGAGAAACCCCCGCGTGTTTTTTTTGTTCCCGTTGCTGTATCGGCATCGCGCGTGTGGTGTGTTTTTTGTAAGCGCTTTGTCGGCCTTTATCATTGCCGTCGCTTTTACGCGGGATTCTCCGGTCGCCGCGCCAATTCCATTTTTAACTTCGATGGAATATTTTTTTGGCTAAATGAGAAATGATTGGTCCGTTTTGCCGCCGCCTCATTTGCATAGCGCGGTGGGGGCGCGGCGCCTCCCAATGGGGGCGCGGCAACGCCCACACCCCTGGCCGCAGCCAATGGGCGCGAGCCTCGCTGACGACACGTGACGTATAAAAGGTGGCTGCGCGATCGGCCCGGGCTCTTTAAGTGACAGCGCCGTTTCGCTGTCGGCACGTGAGGAGCCGGGCTCTGGGCGCTCTCGCTGTAGTCTCACTAACTCGCTCAGCGCAAAGCGGCTCAAAGCAATCCCGTAGCGACAACCCGGCGAAGAAGAACAAGACGCGAGAGCAGCAGCCGCCACCAGCCGCCAGCGCAAGAAAGCTTCAATCGGCAGCAACTTGCTATAAGCAAACAGCAAGCTTCGGCGATAACCAATTAAGCTAATTGGCTGCACGCAACGAAGAGCAGCCATGGCTGATACCGCGGTTGACACCACGACTGAGACGGCAACGAAGGTATTTGTTATATTTACTTAAGTATGCGAGGCCGCTTTTCTCTCGTGGTGGCGTGTGTGTGCTGTGTGTGTGTGTATTTGTAACGATGTGGCTATCTGTCGGCTTTGCAACACGCGCTACACCTGCGCGGGTGGGTGGGTGGGTGGTGGAGTAAATGCCACTCGGAAATTGAACCCTGCGACGTGCAAGCGAAGCGTCCGGAGGAGGAGGAGGAGGAGAGGCTCCACAATAGTTTTGTGAACGACGAAAAGTGGAAGAGTTTGGGAGCGAGGCGATTGGTGGACTTTTCCCCACTTGCCGCTGCTGTGGATTCAAACATTCGTGGTCCTGCTTCTTTAGGAGGGGGCTTTTGTGAACATCTTTCACCGCCACCTACCACCAACGCGCGCTAATAAAGTGCGCTCGTTTTGGACCTCGCTACCACCCGCTTGTGGACTTTTATCCGTAGGTTTGAGGGTTTTGTAAGTGTTTGTTATGGGGGTGGATGCGGATAGTTGGTGGGTTATTTCTGCGTAATGGGGTTTGTGTGGTTTCAATGGGTTTGCTTTAAAATGCGAGAACGTTTTGCGCGCCACTCCACGTGGTCCGGTCTCCGAAGACAAAGATCACCCGTATAGTCTTCAGACTGTTGGGGGGCAAGTCCTGTTAGCGATCACCTATTAAGGTCGGCACGGCACACGGGGGAGGTGGGTGGTCAGCACCGCGCCCGGCCGCCTTTGTCTCTCCCCCCCCATGCCGATGTTTATAACACCGCACCAGGTTACAAATTTAAGGCTGAGTCGACCTCGTGGGAGGTCCGGAACCGGCTCAAGATATTCGCCACCAATATTGGCTGCGAGCGCGAATCAAACCTCGTGTTGCCGCCGATTCGTAGCGCAGCGCGCTAACCACTGCGCCACCACTCCCCAACATGCCCCGCGTCTCCACTCCACGCTCGCCATGCTGCACGAGAGGGCACTTGGCATATTCATACCACACTGCGTACACGACAGCCGCTAGCTACTACTACAGGCACTACACCGCATGCAAGTACGCATGGCACGCGTGCTACCTATATAGTGTGCACACTTGTTCAGGTTAATTAAACACAAGTTTGAATTAACGTGTTTTCAGCCTCGTTCGCATTGTGTAGAGGTCATCGTTTGTGGTCGGGTCCCAGTGGCTTGGTGGAGTTTCTGCGGGGAAGTCCGCGTTTGGGGAGTGCTCGTGTGGGGGGGGGGGGTCTCTGTGTGACGGCTGCCGCTCGCTTGCTACTACGGGTAGAAGAAGACGAAGCAGCGCTGCGTGGTGGGCGACAGCGGCGCTCTGGGCGCGCAGGTGCAGCGGCACCGGCGGCAGCCTTGCAGCGGTCGTAGTGGCAGCCGTGTCGTGTGTGGTGGTGGTGGTGTTTTAATTCTACACGGTGTAATCAACGCGGTGTGCTTGTTGACGCAGTGAGTAAGTGGCGAGTGAATGTTAACGTGGGTGGTGGTGGTGGTGCGCGTTACTTGCAATGTTGTGTTCGTCCTTGGCTTCTCAATGTGTGGTCCGCGTGCATTTACTACGGCGGAGGCCACCAACCCACACGCAGCTTCCAACAGGGACGTCTCGCCCACTCCACAGTGGAGGGGCCCCCCTCCCCACCACGACGCCCCCCCCCCCCACGTGTAACTTTAAATTCGCTTTCCCGCGTAAACCCAACGCGAAAATCGCCACCCCCCCCCCCCAGTTAGCGATGGGGTTTTTCCCCCTTCGCGCTCGATGTGGCGCTGCTGCTGCCGTGGGAGAGGCATGTGCGCTGGGTTCGTGGTGCACGGGGGAGCACACCACACACACACACCACCACTACACCACACACACACCACCACACACACACCACCACTACACCACACACACACCACCACACACACACACCACCACTACACCACACACACACACCACCACACACACCACCACTACATCACACACATACACGCATGGTGCACGCTTTAGTAGAGTACTCAAACCCCCCACGTTTAAACCTCCTCCCCCCCCCATTCGTTTGAGTTAGAGATGGGGGCGGAGAGAGAAGTGATAATGATGATCATAAATTGTCTCTACTTTAAGCGGCCTTTCTTTTGTTGTGGCACTAGACGACGTCGCACACATTGCATCGCGTGTGATTGTTACTAGGCACGGGTTTGCATTGTGCGCGCGTCTGTACATAAATAGGCGCTCGCCAACACACCGCGTATGCTATATACAGAGCACGTGTATATGCTGTGGCATACATCGGAGAGAGACAAAGGCGGCCGGGTGTGGTTTCTGGCCACAACCACCCAGCTCATTGCGCCGTGCCGGTCCTAAATAGGTGCTCGCAAACAGAACTCATTCTCCCAACCGCAGCGTGTACGGCTCACGGGGATAGACATTTGCTGTTGGCTGTATAACACAACACACCCACACCACGCGGGGCTGTGTGGCAGTCTCGTACTCCCATAGACTTGCATTGACGACAGTGCGCTCAGTCACCAACCCCGACCACTGCGCTGGCGTGGCCGAGTTCGACTCGGGGGGGGGGGGGGGTCACGTTCAGTCGATTCCGTGGAGGCGAAGAAGTGTTGGAGCAGGCGGCCCGTGCCGACACCGCGTGCGCGAGTTAGCCGTGCGCAGGGGGGGTTCCTGTGCGAGTGCACATCGAGTGAGTGAGTGTGGTGGTGGTCGTGCCTGACGGCGCGTCTGGTACAGAATGTCTCTTGTTCCCGTGGCGCTTCTTGTTGTGTGCGTGTCGGTGCCGCGCGAGTCAGTCGAGAAGCAGTCGCGAGTAGCAGCTCTACCACAGTGGTGGTGGTGGTGCCGTGGGCTGGTTCCTGGCGGCGGTGCCGTGGGCTGGTTACTGGTGGTGGTGCCGTGGGCTGGTTACTGGTGGTGGTGCCGTGGGCTGGTTACTGGTGGTGGTGCCGTGGGCTGGTTACTGGTGGTGGTGCCGTGGGCTGGTTACTGGTGGTGGTGCCGTGGGCTGGTTACTGGTGGTGGTGCCGTGGGCTGGTTACTGGTGGTGGTGCCGTGGGCTGGTTACTGGTGGTGGTGCCGTGGGCTGGTTACTGGTGGTGGTGCCGTGGGCTGGTTACTGGTGGTGGTGCCGTGGGCTGGTTCCTGGCGGCGGTGCTGAATCTCGTAGCGCAGGTCTGTCGGCCCCAGACACGCGGCCGGTGGTCGTCTCTCCCCTTCTGTGCGCGCGGACCCCCCCCCCCCCCCCGAGGCTGGGTCCCATTAGTGGCGTCTGGTTCCTCGTGGGGCTCCCCGCCTCTTGTTAAACTTCATGTATCCACCACCCAGGGAGACCACCCCGTGTAACATTGACTACCCCCCCCAAAACCTTCCCTTGGAAGAACCCCCCTCTAAAAATCCCATCTGCCCGTGCGTTTGTGGAGCGAAACCGGCCTCATTGCACAAACTCTCTCTCCGCACGCGCGCGCCACTAACGCCGCGTGGTGTGGAGGCGCGCCAGGGGTCATAGCGAGCCGCATTAGTTGGCCACTGGACGTGTACACCGGCGCGCATGGCGGGGGGGGGGGGTCCCATATTTAACCTCGCCACGAGCGTCCGTGCCCTTTATTCGACCACGACGGCTGTATTCACGCAACCGAGCAAAGTGTGAACGCCCCTTTATTGACTTGTAACACAACCAACATCGCACGTCTGTGTCGCCCCCACCACTCTCATCGTGAGTAGCGTGGGGACGAGGGGTGAGGGGGGGCCCCCCTTTTTATTTGACCGCCCTGTGCGTCTCAAACGTCGGGTGGACATTCGCCCCCGCCCGCCCGCCGTGTGTTCTGGCCGGCCGCTCGCTCGCTGCCGTGCGCCGTCAACCCCGCGGGGTTGACATTGCTGCAAGGCGGCAGCAGTGGGTGCGCTCTGCAAGCCGCGTGCCGGCGGGGGGAGCCGCAGCTGCAGGGCTTCTGCAGCTGCGGTGTCGTTTTGCCGCCCCCAACGCCATCGGCAGGCATCCTCTTATTGGGCGCGCTTGCAATTCAACTTTTGTTGTTGGCATAGAATACACGTGCCCCCCCGCCCAATCGGTTTTTGTTGGGTTTACCCCCCTTTTTTAGGTAGAACAAGTGGTGTGTGTGTGGAGCATCGCGCGCGAGCTGTGTGTTTAAGCGGTGTTCACGTGGCCCCCCGCTGGGGTAGTGGGAGATTTGCGTGGAACTTCTTTATCCGCGACTCGGCGGCGGACCACCGAATTCGCGCACGTTTAATTTGTGTTGCCACCGAGCTGATAATAGGAATGTGGATAACCCCCCCCCCCCCGCGATTTTCGCAGATAATAGGATTTGCGGATTGAAAAAATATACATCGCTTGCGATTGTAGTGAACATTTGCAGATATTCGGACAAAGTCCCTCCTTATCCACGGTTATCGCGGATAAATGGATAATAGCGTATTTAATGGGATGGTGTATAATCTGTCGAATTATCAGTTTTATCCTCGCGGGGTTTTTAAATACATTTTAATTGTAAAGGTTTTTAAATTGTTAATGGGTTTTTTTTTCCCGCCAATTGCTTAGGGGGGGAGGGGGGGGTGTTGGTGCTGGGGTCGTAGCGCACAGCCCAGGGGCGCAGTGGGCGGTTTCGCAAAAAAAAAACTCCTTCCAATGGACAAACCCCCGTGGCCTCCACTACCCACCCACCTACCTCGCTCGCTCGCTATTTAAAGTAAAGTGAACGAGAGAGAGGGAAAAACACACGCTCGCTTAAAAGTATTTAATGTCACGCAGCCTTGGGGTTGTCTGTTGGCCCGAGTCGGGGTGCAGGAGGGGGCGGTCTCATCTCACCTAAGAATCGCCAAATGTTGGGAGACCCTGGGACAAAAATAATTATTGCAAATGGGACCAATTTGCTCATTAGCTTTTGTGGCACTTAATAGAAACACATTTTAAATGTAAAAAAAAATCTGCTTGGGGTACAACTAAATTTTCACCTTTATTGTAAATGCACGACAGTTCCAGGGGAGAAGCCTCGCTTTTTTTTTTAAAGAGTAGTTTCCTACATTGGCATGTTTGGCAGATGACTTTTATGTGAACGCTTTAAGTGTGTAAGGAAACCACCACCGACTCCATTATATGGGCAACTCAAATAATGGCTCGGGCAGATCGGCCACCACCACCAACCCCGGCTGTTATGATCCAAAAAAAAACACGCGGTCGCATCTCCTCCTCTGCTGCGTGAGCCACCAACCCCCGTCCAAAAAACGCGGCTTTAGTTTTTCTTAACACAAGCAGCGCTTGCTCCCTCGCTAGTTCGCTCAGTAAAAGCGCACACCACGCCCGGTCCTTTAAAGGGCTCGCGTCTCCAGCCCTGTGAGAAAGGAGCAAAAAAAGAATCTCCCCCCCCCCCCCCCCCTTGTGTGTGTGCGCTGCGCTATTGGCCGTGGTGGCTGGCTGGGTTGGGGAGGAGGAGGTTGGTGGTGGTGGGGGGGGAAGAGTCGAGGTGGTCGCTTCGGTTTAGTGTGGGCGGGCTGCAGAGACGCGTGGGACGGAGCCGATTGGCCGACGGTGCGCGCTCATCACCCCCCCACCACCACCACCAAGCCGCCGCCTCGCTGTGGCGGAGGCTCGGGGCGCGACCATCTGCGGCCTCCCTCCCCACCTCCCCCCACGTCAACCCCAACGCTGCTCTCGATAATGGTGGGGGGGGGCAGACGTGCACCCGGGCAACCCAACCCTCAATGGGGGGGGGGCGGCCCGTGCCATTGTCCCACCGCCGCAGCAGCAACAGCGGCGGCAGATTGGACCCCGGCGGCAGATGTCGCCTTTGTGTCGACGAAACCCGATGCTGCCCCGAGCGGCCGCCCGCCCGCCGGCTGCAATGGCAGCGGCAAGCAGCCCCCCCCCCTCCTCATCGCCCTCGAACAATGATGTTTATTGTTCGGAGTAGCGATCCTTTCGAGAGGAGCCCGCGAGCGTTTTGTCAGCGCCAATGATGAAAAAAAATAAAGGCTTTGTTTAAAAAAAAAAGTTTTTACCCCCCTCCCTTTGCCCAGACGTGAGGTTAATTTAAACAGGTGCGTCAATTGCGCGGGTTTTTATGAATTTCTGACGAGTTGTACGGGGGGAGGGGGAAGGGATTTTGTGCCTGGGCGTTGGATATAAACGCAAGCTTGCGGGAGAGTAAGCAGTGTGTTTACCAAGAGATCAACAGTTTCGTGACAAAAGTTAATCTAGTTTTTGCCATTGATTTCTATGATTTGCACCTGCATAGGAAGTGTCCGAATCGTAAATGAATCCGCGCTGCTCTCGGCATGCCGAGACCCACCCTTAACACGGCCGTTGCGATTGTCCTCGCCGCAGGACCTCAAGGACCTCAAGAACAAGAAGGAGGAGGTGGTTGCCGAAGAGGAGGACAGCCAAGATGCCCCCTCCAATGGCGCCGAGGTAACTCCTGGGACCAGCCCCGCGCTGGTATCTCTCTCGCGCAGCCTCGCATTTCCCTGACCACTCGTGCACCCCGTGCCAGGGTGCCCTCAACACATGACCTCTCTCTAACCTCCATTCCACCTTCTCGTGTGCAGGACGAGAATGGAGAGGGAGACTCTGAAGAAAATCCAGAGGATGTGGACGAGGAGGAGGAGGCTGACGAAGAGGGTAAGTGGTGCAATTACAAATCTCTTTCCCGCTTGTATTCGTGTTGTGCTGTTGGCAAAAAAAACCTTGTTGAGAACATCCATTTGAGATTGTCATGGTCGCTCGCCATCACCTGTAGATTGCTGTCTTGAAACTGTCACCCGAATACTGTTGATGTTTCTTTAATACGCCTCAACCTCGCCTTCTTTTGGGCCTGGAATGGGCTTTTCATATAGCAATAAAAACCTATCTTTTTCTCATCTTGCAATACTGGGAATTGACATGCCTAATATAAAACGGGGATTCTTGTGCAGTCATGGGTGACTTGGCTGAGATGGTTAACTTTCTCTGCTATGCTTGAGAACCCGGTCTAATCACGTGTGGCTGAAACCCAGACACCACAACCCAACCAATTGCTCCAGCACGGCAATTATCCACCACCTCCCCGCACTCAACATGACTCTCCTCCCCTTCACAGGGGACGCTGATGAAGTAGACGACGACGATGATGACGAGGAAGACGACGATGAAGCGCCCTCAAGTAAACGTCCAGCGGAGGAGGATGAGGTACTGACGGCTGCGTTGGAAGCACTGTGGCTCTGCCATGGGGTTGTGGTGGGGTGGCTTCGGCAACGTGGTTGGAGTGTTGAGGCTGTGTGCGTGCACATATGTCTGTTGGTCGCTATTTAAATCGTGGGAAGGCTGCCCCCTGTTGCAACTCCGCTGGCAATTGACGCAGACGCAACAATGTACGGCAGCTCCGCCGAGGGCTAATGCCGAGTCAATCGCAGTCGGCGGCAGTGCGGTTGGCTTGTCTGAACCGTCGTCGCGTGTTAGGTGCGCTGTCGACTCTTGGACTAAGAATTGTCTCTTCTCTACCCCCCCTACCCCTTGTCGTGTTTCAGGACGAGGCGGACAAAAAGAAACAGAAAACTGAAGACAACGGTGATTCGGTGGAGTCCTAAGGGGGGAATACTGGGAAATAAAACTAAATTGGGAGGGGGAAAAGGAGAGGAGTGGGGGGGGATTTGGTTCCCTTTTTTGCGCCGTCCAAAACCTGTTCCCCTGCCCCCGCCACTGCTAGGGCTACCGAGTAGTGGGTGCATTTCTCTTTGTTGGTTTTTTTTATTGGCATAGTCTATATTTTTAAAAATAACAATAACCAGCCCACACTGGAGTTGCTGCAGCCTTTTTGTTTTAAAAAATAAAGTACACCTTCCACCATCACCCCCCCCCCTCCTGATTTTAGAAACGTTTTCAATGAAATAAAAACGACACAAATGCAAATAACAAAAAGGGTTTTTTTGTATACCTATTTATTTTATACCACAACCGAGGGCTCTCGATGTGCACAAAAAAGGGACGTTGGGAGGTGCAGCCAGAGGAGAAGGGGGGGGGGGGAAACGGGGTGGGGGGGAGATGGATTTTGTTAGGAAGCGGTGAGAGTGGATCCGCGATGCAGCCCCAATTTACCCGGTAGCCCCTGCAGAGGGGGTGGGGGAGCGGTGCCATGCCCCTCTTAAATTTTTTTTGTCCGTCCCTTGCTTTTTTTGGGGGGGGGGGGGGTTAAGGAAAGGAAAAAACTAAACTTGTATCATTCCTTTAATTTTTTATTTTATTTCTTTTCTTTATGTAAAGAATCACGTAGGCTAAACTTGCGTTGGGTCGTGTTATTGGAAACACGGGCCAAAGATGTTTTTAAGTACTGTCGTTGAAAAAAAATTCAGGCCCAACTCCTGTGTGAAACAACAACAACCAACAACAAAAAGAATGGTTTTCTTTTGGATGTATTTGTAATGTAGTCTGTTAATAAAATTTGACAAAACGCCGTGCTCTGTTCTTCATTGTGAATTGCACAATAACACTGCCCCAATAAAGTCCATCAGAACATCACAAGCCCCGCAACGCTGTCCATCTCCACTGACAAAACGCCGTGCTTTCTGTTCTTCATTGTCAATTGCACAAAAACACCGCCCCAATAAAGTTGGCACCAAGACTCCCGTCAGAACATCACAAGTTCCGACTCGGATGCCCGTTCCCCACTGGGGATGGGCAATGTGAAATCTTCCACCACTGGATGCAAGCCTGCCAGTGAAAGATGAAATACTGCACGATGCACATTTTGCATACAAAGTGAAATTTTTTGACTCGTTTGTTTAAACTCGCTATGTAATTAAGTTCACGCGAGGGTTTGTGGAATGAGACTCGTTATTAAATACGTCTTTAGCTGCGTGACATCACTGGAAAACAACTCCCACCATCTTACAAACCTCGGTGGCCATTTTATGTTTGCCCATGGAGTGAGACGCATCTCGCTTTGTGTTGGGGGGGGGGGCACTCGGTGCACCGGCCGTAAGGCCACTTGCCACGAGTCGCCCATTGCCCTCGCAATGCGGACAGCACAGAGGCATCGCGCCTCGCCAGGTGTCGTGGGGATTTCCATGGATGTGGGAATTCTCGTGAGATGGGGGGGGGGGCCGTCGATGAATGGTGATGACTCCGTGTGTGGCCGCTAGCGGGCGCCATGCCGCAGTGTGGACTGCATCGACAAGGTTATTTAAACACGAGGGTGTTTGTCACTGCAGTAGGCGTGGGCCCTGGCACGCACTCGCACGAAACCAGTTCCGACTTCCTAGCAGCACTCCGGGCTGCACGTATTTGTTGTCGGACGCAAAAGCTGTAGTGGGTGGCCACCCAATGGGAAGGGGGGGGGAGAGACAAACACGGTCCGGGTGTCTGGTGTGGTGTAACGTCGACCATATCGCCCCCCTCGCCTTGCTGTTCGGGGCTCGCAAGGGACTTGCGTCCACACCGAGGCCCCCCACGAGGTCCCCGGAGTTGCCGATGCGTAGCACGGTCCATGGGCCACGACAAACGCGTGCGGTAGTGACACCCACGGCACAACCACCACCAACAACAACACCGCGGTAGTGACACCCACGGCACCACAACCACCACCAACAACAACACCGCGGTAGTGACACCCACGGCACCACCAACACCGCGGTAGTGACACCCACGGCACCACCAACACCACCACCAACACCGCGGTGGTGACACCCACGGCACAACCACCACCACCAACACCGCGGTGGTGACACCCACGGCACAACCACCACTAACACCGCGGTGGTGACACCCACGGCACCAACACCAACACCGTGGTAGTGACACCCACGGCACAACCACCAACAACAACACCGCGGTAGTGACACCCACGGCACCACCAACACCGCGGTAGTGACACCCACGGCACCACCACCAACAACACCGTGGTAGTGACACCCACGGCACAACCACCACCACCAACAACACCGCGGTGGTGACACCCACGGCACAACCACCACCAACACCGCGGTGGTGACACCCACGGCACCACCACCAACAACAACACCGTGGTAGTGACACCCACGGCACAACCACCAACAACAACACCGTGGTAGTGACACCCACGGCACAACCACCAACAACAACACCGCGGTAGTGACACCCACGGCACCACCAACACCGTGGTAGTGACACCCACGGCACCACCACCAACAACACCGTGGTAGTGACACCCACGGCACCACCAACACCGCGGTAGTGACACCCACGGCACCACCACCAACAACACCGTGGTAGTGACACCTACGGCACAACCACCACCACCAACAACACCGCGGTGGTGACACCCACGGCACAACCACCACCAACACCGCGGTGGTGACACCCACGGCACCACCACCAACAACAACACCGTGGTAGTGACACCCACGGCACAACCACCAACAACAACACCGTGGTAGTGACACCCACGGCACAACCACCAACAACAACACCGCGGTAGTGACACCCACGGCACCACCAACACCGTGGTAGTGACACCCACGGCACCACCACCAACAACACCGTGGTAGTGACACCCACGGCACCACCAACACCGCGGTAGTGACACCCACGGCACCAACACCAACACCGCGGTGGCGGTGGTGCTGGAAAGCGAGTAGCCGTGATGAACAACATTACCGTGCGGATCTCATAGCAAGGGCGGGGGGGACCGCGCCTGGGTTCGAATCCCGACTTTAGTGCTGGGGGGGGGGGGGCTTTTCCACGTGGAGTTTGGACGTCTGTGCAAATAAAACAATTGCTTTATAGCTCCTCGGAATCCTCGAGTATAAATGAAGATTTCTCATTCTTGTATGCTACCCCCCCCCCCTTCTTCTCGCCGTGCTCTGCACGTGTTGCCTCCGCGTTCTCCCGATGCCAAACAATCACCTCCTGTGGCCGCTCTTGGGCGACGAACATCCCGATGCTGAGAAATTCCTTTCGCAATGACTCCCTTAGGGGATTTGCAGTTTACAACACGCGCTCCATGTACTGCATATACAACATCACCGCCCTCCGCCCCCCTCGAATTGCCGAAAACTTGGCAGGACTTTCAAGAAGAAGAAGAAGAGAATAAGAGTCGTGACATTGCGAGACCATCCCGAGTCGGCAGTCGTCACCACTGACGAGCGCGTGGTTGAGTGGCGCACGTGGACTAGGACTCTACCGCAACACGTGCTCGCGTATAGTAGAGCGCGTGTGTGTGTGTCAGCGTACTGCGCACATGTGTTGACATGTGCACACACGTGTGTAGTTGTACACACGGTCTGTGAGAACACGACAACACAACCGACCGAGTTAAATTCCCGGCACGCGGCTCATGGCAGTGGCGAGTAATGCCTGAACCAGTCCCTGAGTCAGTGTATGACACACACTGACACGCCAGCACTGTAGAGTAGTACACACGTGTACAGGTGTGGCGTGTGACGTGTTATACGTGTACAGGTGTGACGTGTGACGTGTTACACGTGTACAGGTGTGTGTGTGGCGTGTTACACGTGTACAGGTGTGGCGTGTTACACGTGTACAGGTGTGGCGTGTTACACGTGTACAGGTGTGGCGTGTGACGTGTTACACGTGTACAGGTGTGTGTGTGGCGTGTTACACGTGTACAGGTGTGGCGTGTTACACGTGTACAGGTGTGGCGTGTTACACGTGTACAGGTGTGTGTGGCGTGTTACACGTGTACAAGTGTGGCGTGTGGCGTGTTAAACGTGTACAGGTGTGGCGTGTTACACGTGTACAGGTGTGTGATTAGTAGTACATGTGTGAGTAATCTGGTACACGTGTGAGAGCTGGTGGACACGTGTGTGATTAGTAGTACACGTGTGATTGGTGTGGTACACACGTGTCTGTGTGAGAGCTGGTACACGTGTGTGATTAGTAGAAACGTGTGAGTTGTCTGGTAGATACGTGTGACCGATCTGCCTGCCTGCAGATCTCCACGCTGCTGTAATTCCTGTAGTTCGCGTTATTCGACTGTCTCAGTTGCTTTGTTGCCACAAGAACGAGAGGCTATTTGTGGACTCGTTTGGTTGGTTCCAAACGTTTCTCCCTGTGGCTCACTTAATTATGATGCGTGTACAGTACAGCCCTCTTGGCAATCCACTGCTGGATGAGAGCCCTCCCCACGCTGTGCGCTTTCGAGGAGGTATTTTGTTTTTTTTTTGCCATACTTCACTACGCTGGTCAGTACATTGTTGGGTGAAGGCAGGCAGCAGTCGTGGGAGCATATAACGTACAGCACAATCGTCGAGTTTCGTCGCACTGCCCTTTGCTGCTGATGCTGCTGCTCACCACATACCAGCTCCGGATGATGACAAACACGGGACAAACATCGGCAGCATCAACATCTCGGGGAGGGTGAGTCGGGGTTGCTTAAATGGGCGACCACCGTGCATAACAGGTGTTACAGCGCCGTGGGGTGCACAGTGTCAGTCAGCCCAAGGGCAGCAGAGGTAGCAAACTCCATTATTGTACCGTACCGTAGGAGTTCTATGGTCCAACGCCTATCACCCTGCCGTCTTCACCGACCCGCCACTGCCCTAGCGTGGTCAATCAAGTACGGTGACGTTACGGGGGGGGAGGCCGCTATCCAGCAGTGGAGTGGCTGTGTATATGTTGACGTCTGGGCGGTGACACTGCCCAGGGGTGGCGCGTCGTCGTTTGCTGCGGAGGTTCGCGGGTTGAGATGTAGAGCGGCCGCCCCGGTTAATGGTGGCGGGTGTAACAACCAACGCAATTCTATGGGCCGTCCGCTTCACAGTTAACGTTCAACTACAACAAAAACAAATCCATAATAAAGGGTTGATTTTTTTTGGGGGGGGGGGGGGTTAGATCGCGTAAATATACATGTGTCGTTAAACCCACCACCACCCGATACGGCCAATTAGTTAACAAACAAAAAACCCTGTATTGTGGATATTTGCCGCGAAAACCTACGTGTTCAAACAAACAAATCCCTTGACATCATCCGCAAGAGAAATCGTTATGTGCCGGCGCCGTCAGGGGAGAACATTTTTTTCCCAAATCTCGAAAATGACACAATTGGGGTTATACGCGGCAAACATCACCCCCCCCCCTATTGGCAGATTAATACCCCAGGTCACTCATGCAAACGGTGCTCTCACCCTGGGTCTAGTCAGTCCTCGCTCACCTGGTTGAAACTAAATCAGAGTCTATATTTAGACTGGAGGAATCCGATGAGCCATCAAGCTCTTTTTTCCACAAGTCCAGTCGGTAGATACACTGAAATTGACTTGGAACGACCACCGATGAAGCTCCAGCTATTTGCGTGTCCGGTCCTGGCTGGGCCAGTCAGTGCTTATGTAATGGCAATAGAGACTGCATGCGGTGTGAGGGGACTGGTGGCCACGGGAGGTAATGACAGGGGCATCAGTTGTGAGCACGAAGGGACTGGTGGCTAAGGGAATATTCGAGAAGGGAGCGGGGTCAGGCGACG